ACAGGGTTTTCAAATAGAAATGTGATGTGACCAACTTGAACGTTGGAAAACAAAATGGAAAATGAAGCAGAGAGTTTTTTGGCTGGAAACTATGAAGCCAGTAATGAGAGTATCATAACAATTCAGACTGAAGAATCTCAGAGGACTGATGAATCTCAGATGGAAGGGGTGTGGGGGTCAGGAAGAGATTAACCAAATAATTTATATGTATTACCTATGGACACAGACAGCAGAGTGGTGAAGGCCTGGGGCGGGGCAGAAATTGGTTGGAGGGGGCCAGGGGAGAAAAAGGGGGACATCTGTAATACTCTCAACAATAAAGATTTTTTTTAAAAAATTTCAATTAGCCCATAATAAAGGCACAAAAGATTTAAAAAAATAACTATTCAGATGAAAATTAAAATTGCAACTCAGGCAGTGGTGGGAGAAATGGAGATGTGGGTTCAGCTGCTTGAGGTGTTAGGGGGTAGAATATGAGAAACTTGCTGAATGAGTTTATTTGATGGGTGAAGACCACAGAAGAGCCTCAAATAGCTCCCAGGTTGTTAGCTTGGGTCATTGGGTGGATCAGGAATTCCCTGCTGATGTGGAGAATAATAAGAGGAGAAGACTTGGAAGGGGGTGGAGAAGGTGTTGAGACTACTTTGAGACAAGTTGAGTTGGAGACAGCGGCTTGGTAGTTTTTAGCATATAGCTGATAGCTGAAGCCATGGGAGTACATAAGATAACAAGGACTAGCAGGTAGTGTAGGAAAATTGCTTTTGATAGAGACAAGGGGACAACAATCCTTAAGATGTAAGCATAAAATGAGGAGCCATCAAGGGAGACTGAGACAGAGCAGCCAGAAAGGTCTAAGAAAACCAGAGGAGATTAGACGTCTTCGTCACAGAGGAATAAGAGCATAACCTCATTCTGTTTTCACCCTTTCCAGAGACTAGGAATTTCCTGAAAAACCAACCTAAGAAGTTCTGGACCTTCGTAAAGAATTGGCAGCACAGACTGAGTTCAGGGGAGTGGAAAAGTTGACACAATGAACTATGAGACTCTCCTTCTCCCCTCTCCTGACCTATTCCCAGAGAAGGATTTTTCTCTGTAGAAACTATTGGAAGATATACTTCAAAAAATAGACAGGGAGACATTCATATGAACGAGAAGAAGAGGGAGAAGGAGGAAGAGGAGGAGGAGGAGGAGGAGGAGGAGGAGAAGGAGGAGGTGGAGAAGGAGAAGGAGAAGGAGAAGGAGGAGAAGGAGAAGGAGAAGGAGAAGGAGAAGGAGAAGGAGAAGGAGAAGGAGAAGGAGAAGGAGAAGGAGAAGGAGAAGGAGAAGGAGAAGGAGAAGGAGAAGGAGAAGGAGAAGGAGGAGGAGAGAAAGAGAAAAAGAGAAAGAAAGAAAGAAAGAAAGAAAGAAAGAAAGAAAGAAAGAAAGAAAGAAAGAAAGAAAGAAAGAAAGAAAAACAGAGAGAGAGAAACAGAGAGACAGAGAAACAGAGAGACAGAGAAACAGAGAGACAGAGAAACAGAGAGAAAAAGATGAGTGAGGAAAGAAGGAAGGAAGGAAGGAAGGAAGGAAGGAAGGAAGGAAGGAAGGAAGGAAGGAAGGAAGGAAGGAAGGGAGGGAGGGAGGGAGGGAGGGAGGGAGGGAGGGAGGGAGGGAGGGAGGGAGGAAGGAAAGAAGCAAAAGGAAGTAGTAGAAGATAAGAAATCCAGAAAACAGAGGGTTTGACATGGAAAAGGATGGCAGGACAGCTGTGCAACAGGCCTAGAGGACAAGCAGTCCAGAGTAAGCAGGGAAGCAGAGGATTGAACTAGGAAGGCCTCCAGGGAAGAACATGAAACTGATGTGTTTCAAGATTTGGTCGGTGTTTGGCAGATTTATTGGGTAAAGATGAATACACAGAAAGCCAAGTAGATGAAAAATTAAACAATTATTCATACAAAAGGGGAAAGTGATAAGAAGAAGGAAATAGCTATTTCTTCCCTCTCTTCCTGAAGATATTCAGTAAGAGCTCTTAACACCGTACCCTAATGAAAACAATAAAATCTCTAGCAAGCCTACTATCATGCATTAACTTGTCCTCAATGAAAATCTGATAAAAATGCAGTATGAACTGAATGACTCTGTTTAAGCAGGTGACTTAGGAAGGTCATTTTGAAGAAATAATAAATACCCTCAGGGCCATGCCCCATACAGAAACGTTTGTGCTGACCATCATGCATGCTAAATGGTCAGCACATAATTATTCTCAGGAAGGGAATATCAGGGCTTCTTCTGTCCCTGTGAAGACAGCCCTGCACGTCCTCTGGGAGGCATCGTCACATTAAAATCTGTGGAAATGATACTCCTCCCCCACCCCCTCTGCTCCCCAGGGTGGGACTGAGCAGCAGCTATACACAGCAGCTCTGGTGAGACGCCTTTTATTTTACTACCTGTTCCAGGACAGGGAAACGAGGCTAACCTTTTCATCCCATTCACTCTTATAAAAGCACATTAAACTGCATCTTAAAAACATTATACTCACGAATGGTAGCTGGAGTTGGAGTGCTTTTAATCCTCCACCTCCTGTCCCCAGTGGATTTCATTTGTGATATGTGGTTTAGAACAAAGTTATCCAATAAATGTAGAGTTGATTCTAAAATTACAAAGGTAAACTGCCATGGCAGTTGCTCTTTATCATTTCTGAAAAGTGAATATGTGATGTTCTGCCAGGTTTTCTTAGTAGCTGTGCTTTGCAGGTGGCTCAGTTCCAGGGTCCAGATGTATAAACATCCTGTACATGCACCGCTAAGCCTTTAGGAGTGCTCTCCCTGCAGATGGTATGGACTTCCAGGCAGAAACGGCGTAAGCATGATGTGAGCAGGTAAAAGCAAAAACAGCAACAGGGACAATAAGATTATGATAAAAGCCGCTGGAAAATGGCAGGAAAAGTCAAAAGGAATGCAGTGTTTCATACTTTGACACCTTCAGTTGCTTAAATACGGTATGTTATGGTACAGTAGCAATAAATAGCCTAAATGCCATACAATGTCCTTGATTTTGAAAAGGATTGTGCCCACTTTACAAAAGGGGGGAAATTCCCTTTAAAAAAAAAATACAAGGCGGTATTCAAAATGAAAAGATCTCTTATGTAAACTTGTTCAAAGTCAGATTTCATAAAATCTTCATTCTCAGTCTCTCTGGTTTTCTACCTTGAAATCCCATTATTATGGCATGTCTCTCATGGTTGCTCAACATTTTAAAATACAGATGCTGAGAACTGAAGAGCCGAAGGCAACAGAAATCGGATTAAAGTGAATGTAAACACTGTGATGCATCTACCACCATCGTGTGTAATTCAAGTCCAAGTTCAGCAAGGGATAGGAAATCTGGTGTGAAAAGAACTTAGAGAAGAGTCTATTTATCATGAAGCATGATGAATCAAGGGCTAAAAACCAATCATCTGGGTTTTTCTTTAACTTCCCCACTCCCCACCCCCAAATATCAAGATCAGGATCTATCCAGATATAGTCCTCACAATTCAAAAGTGGAAAAATAACCTATAACTTTGTAGTTATTGTATTTTTTTTTTGAAGTTCACCCCATTGAATCAAAAACCTTGACAAATCTGCTGCCTACGTAAGACCTCATATGCTACGCTGCAGGTTATTAGCCTTGAGCTCATTTGTGGTTATTTGACTATGAAGCAGAGTCTACTTTAACATGGTTAGTCTCCCCACAAAGACACCCCGCATTTTGCACCCACACACTGCTTCGTGCTGATTAAACCATGCTTAAAATTAATGAAAATGATACAAACACAAGTAAAAATGACAGGAATAATAATCCCATCTCTACAACACACACACACACACACACACACACACACACACACAATGATGAACTGGTTTTATATTTGATAATAAAGTTCACAGTTAACTGAGGAAAATGTTTCAATTCAATTAAGCTCTGTGTAATGTCATGTGTTTTCTTGGCATTAACTTATCAGAATTTACTTCCTGCTATTTCCTACCCATTACAGCCTCTATTGAGCCATAAGGGGCCATTCGGTGGCTCTATTCAAATCGGTCCAGGATTTAAATCAATTGTGAACTTGAATAGAACAGGAATATGACAATAATGGTTCTAAAATTGTCTATGAAAAACTCTAATTATTGTCTATGAAACTCTGGAAATGTTTTTTGAGATGGCTAAACCCTCTATCTACCATATACACAGACACACACAAATAAGTAAAACTCTGTTTTAGGACTCCGTATTTCATTTCCATTTTATTTCACATTCAAATTATTTCCTGAAATCATCTGAGGCTTTTGTTTTTGCAAAACTTGGAGCTCCAGGCCCTTTGATAACTAGATGTTTCTTCCAGCACGAGAAACAAATTCGGGATTTGACAGAGGCAAATGGCAATCGTTAAACTACTTCCTATTTCATAATAGAGTTTTTGAAAAATCAATTATTGTGGAACAAGGCTATTAAATGTGATTTGCCACTAAAAAATATGGGAGCAGGCTTTGGAGAGGAGTTTATTCAGCACCCATATCTCACTGAAAAAGAAACGGAGGTTAGTTGATGGATCCATTTTCTAGAAGCAAAACTGGGACCAAACATCAGGCTCCGGCCTGAGACCCAGCTTCCTCTACCACGCACACGGCAAACAGTAGTTTTGTTGGTTAGTTCGCCAGCATCAAAACAAATGTACAAAATAGGAAAGACACATGGCTATTAGTAGATTACTTTATAAACAAGATATTCAAAACTTAAATTAGTACAGGTAAAGAGTTGGCACGAATGGACGAAGGTTTGTTTTCACCGTAGCAGTAGCATCTGCACAACATACCCCCTCAGCCACTGCCCTCAGCCCTTCCCCCCTCCAAGAGAGGTAGCGCTGCCGGCTGCAGATTTCTTCAGCTCTATTTTCATAGACTGAGTCTCAGCTCGAGGCTCGAATTTGGTCAGATTTCCTGCTCCTGGGGCTGCCACTACTGGCTTTCCTGCTTTCATACCTTTTGACATGGGAATGCGGGTGGGTGTAGGCCGCTGGGATGACCCATCTTGTCCTGACTGTAAGAGAAAGAAAACAAATACGGAAACACAAAGGAGATGGTCGTGAGTTTCCCCCTGGATGTGCTCACTCTGAACAAGAGCAGGACTCTTGCCACAGACGACCCCTCCCCAAGCTAAATTATCGTTAGAAACTTGGAGTCAGTATCTGATCCACTCTGATTGCCTCCTGTTCTCCTCTCCTGAAGAATCTATGCCTAACTTTCTTCTCTTCTCATGCTCCTACCCCACCCCGACTACCCTTACTGAAGATGACCTTGCCTCCTCATTCACAGAGAAAATACAGGCCTGGTATAAACTCAGGCAGTTTTACTCCTACTGTCCCCCCAAATTACTTCCGCTTTCTTCAGTCTGCAGGCCAGCACTCTACCCACTGAGCCAAACCGGCTAGGGCTCCTCCACTTTCTTTAACTAGCCAGCTCTCCTTTTACCTCCTAGGAATTCAGACTCTTCTCATTTTTTACTGTCACTGATGACCACACCCTCTTTCTTGAAATGCTTCTAACACTCTCTTGCTATAATTTCGTTACTTGAATCTCACCCATCACATCCGGTTGTGATGACTGCTCTTTAATCTCTTGCTGGCTTGGCTCCTTGTTCCAGCTTGGCTGCCTGCAAAACGTGGGCATCGCCATATTCCATTCTTAGCCCTCTCTTAAGTTTTTGCTTTCACGCTGAAAATCACCTCAGCTATCACCCCAGGTGTTGACAAGTTCCAGACCATAAGCCTTCAATGCTCTCCTTGAAACAGATCCAGGTTTCCAACGACTTTGCCAAACATTTCCAGGGTCCCTCAGGCATCTCAAATGTAACACCCCCCAAACCTTACTTATCTTCTCCTCCAGACAGTAGTCTTCCCATGTTTCTTATCCTATCCACACATCCGTCCAAGCCAGAACCTTCAGAGCCATCCTTCATACTCAATTTGTCATGAAATCTTCAATCCCGTCTCCAATATAGCTCTGCCCTCATTTTCCCTGCCATAGTTCAAGCCCACACCATCTCTAGCCTGGAGAATTGCAACGGTGTCTCTGCCCGCAGCCTCTGCCCCACTCCAATGTATCCTTTAAACTGTTTTATACACATATCTTTCTAAAACATAAATAGTATAATGATTTCAAATTGTTTTTACCCTTTCAACAACCTTTATCTACTTGACGAGATTAAACACAAATTTCTTAGTAAGACCTGCACCTCCTCTCTTCGCTATCCGCCCCCAGTTTGCCCCTCTTTGCATTCTGTCGCCATGCCTCACTGCTGCTACACAGTGGGGCTGCTCGCCCTTCCCCAAACACCGCAGGCTCCTCCACACTGCTCTACCTCTGCACCTCTGTTCTCACTACAGGCACTTCTGTTCTCACTACAGGCACCGTCCCTTCTTGGAAATCCTTGTCTGTGAAAGCCTCCTCCTCTGTGCAGCCTTCTCTAGTGCTTCCTGTGTACCCCCTTCTTCCAGAGAGCCAGAAGGTAGGTTCCAATCCTTACTCTCCTGCTTAGCTGAGAACTTCTAAAGGCCCTCTTCGCAGTCAGCACCTAATCCAGTGGCTGACCTGTAGCTAGTAGGCAATTAATTCAATACCTCAATAACAAATGAACAAATAAGCTAGCATCGATATTTGATTTCCCAAACTTCTTGTTCTTAATTTAATGGGATCAGATATACCTGCAGTAGATGGGCCATTATTCGGGCCTCAAAAATCTTAGCTGTGCCAAAACCGGTTTGGCTCAGTGAATAGACCATCAACCTGCGGACTGAAAGGTCCCAGGTTTGATTCCGGTCAAGGGCATATACATTGCTTGAGGGCATCTCCTGTTTCTCTAAAATCAATAAACATATCCTCAGGTGAAGATATATATATATATATATATATATATATATATATATATATATATATATATATATAAGCTCAACTTACTAAACTATTAGGCCACTTTTTATTTTCATTTCCTGGTGTAGCTAGTCCTCTAGGAAACATCTGCTAGTGGGTTCCGGTGGAGCGAGAGGCATCTGCTTTTGTTTTATTTGGGTTATTCTCACCCCTCACTTCCTGCTCCCTCCCTCGCCCTGCATATTAGAACCTCTTCTACTCACCACTGACTGGGTTCCTCGAGTGGATGCGGTTGTGACTGGAGTGATGGTGATAGTGCTTGTCACCTTGTTTGCGCCAGGCCGCGAGGAGAGGTGGTTCCTGGGAGAGCGGAGGACAGTGCCGGTGGAGACCTCCTTTTCCGCGGTCACGCTGACAGGTCGGACAGTGATCACTGGACTCACTCCTTCTGCGGAAGCCCCGGGGGACCGTTTAAACTGAGAACCTAAGTGAATGTGGATTTTATTGTCTTCTGTGGTTATGATGTTGGCATTGGAGTTGTATTTCCGAACTGGTGTTGGAACAGTCTGTTTCTCCGGGGTGACTTTGAGGACAGTCCTTCCCATGGGCATCTCCTGGGCGTCGGGCATCTCCGCCGGGGCAGCTGATGTAGACACTGTCATTATCTGAATGGGGGATGTGGGCCTGTCCACAAACCCACCTCTTCCACCGTCCGGGGTTTTCTCTCTGGAATATGTGGTAATTGTGACAGGGGACATGGCTCGTTCTGGGCCGAGAATACCATCTCCGCTTTTGGTTTTCTGAGACATAACATTTGGCGATGGAATAATGGTTATCCTTGGTTTCTGATTCCCTAACGTAGGAATGACGGTGGTGCTGGAGAAAAATTCTTCGGATGTAGGGCTTGTTATCTCCAGCGTGGCAGTGCTGTTCTCATGGTCTGGTGTCACTCGAATATGCAGGGGCTGGCCCTGCTTTGGTGAAAGAACCAGTTCTCCTGGGTGCCCTGGACTGGAATTTGCTCGGGGCCCTTTCTCTGGAGCAATCGAGGGCCCGTTTTCCCGTTTCCTCATCCAGGGAATCCACGACTTTCTCATGGTGAGCTCATTTGCTGCAGGAGGATACCTGTCTAGAACGGAAGATCGTTCCATGGGTTTTTTCAATCCCACCTGTCGAAGGTTGCTCATGATATGATTTTCTTCTTGAAAGGATTTCCGGATAAATACTGCTGGTGTTTCCTCCTCTGCTGCCTCGCTGCTGACAGCATCGGTCTGCACTCCAGTGGAGGTCACGGGAATATCGACCATTCTTCTCCCATTCATACTGGGTCTTAGCGCTCGGCTGTAACGCTTGGAAAGCTCCAGCTCCTTGGTCAGATTGAGGACCTCCTGTCCCATGTTTTTGTTCTTATTTTCTTCCTCCATAAATCTTTGTTGAAGGACAGAATAGTCCACTTGGAGCTGAGAAAGCTGATCTTCCTTGTTCATTAATTCATGAATCTTCTCTTTAAGAGCTTGCACTTCGGCTTTTAAGTCCCGACTCTTAGCCTCTTCCAACCGAAACCTATGTCTCAGCTCAGCTTCCTGGCTCACAGCCTCACCTTTCTCAATGGCTTTGTTCTTGGCAATCTGGTGCTTTATCTCCTCTAGTTGCTGAGAGAGGAAATTGGCCTTATCTTGCTCAGTTCTAAATTTCTGCTCCAGCTGGTCATACTCATCCTCCGTCTTCATCAAATCCCCTTCGACTACCTCCAGTTGTTGGAGACGTTTCTTCAGTCTCTCAATTTCAAGGGTTAGTTCCTTAATCTTGTTGTCTTCTGGGCAGGTGAGCTCAGGTGCTTTTCGAGACCTTCCTCTTGTTATTTCTCTCTCCACTTCCTCTATCCCGTCAAGTCTCTTCTTTAATAAGTCAACACTGCAGCTTAATTCAGATGACTTTTCTTCTTCACTTTTCAGTTTGCCTACTAATTCGTCCCTCTCTTTCGTCAAATTGTATACTCTTTCCTCCATTTCAGATTTCAGTTTTAAAAGCTTCTTACTTTCTTCGATGAGCTTTTCAGTTACATCCATAACCTTGCCTTGTTCCACCTTAAAATTTTTATTGAGTCCGTCCACTTTTCTCTCTTCTTGCTTTATTTTTTCCATCATATTTTTCCTTTCATCGACCAGCATCACAGTAAATGACTTCAGCTTGGTAAGATCATCTTTTAGGCTTAATTCAGCCTTTTCCAATCTACTCTCGGAACATTCCAGTTCTTTGACTCGGCTCTTGACAACCTCCAATTCATTTAGCAGGTCTTTGGTTAAGTTCTTTTCTTTCTCTAGATTTAAATGTAGCTGGGTGCATTCAGATTTACTCTTGCTAAATGCTTCTTCCAATTTCTCCAGTTCAGACATTCTCTTCTGTAACTTCTCAACTTCAATTTTGAGCTCCCTACTATGATGTTCTTCCTCTTGTAATTTCTTCCTCAATTCCCTGCACTGGGATTCTGTTTTAGTGATCTCCTCATCTTTACCCTCCATTTCAAGCACGCGCTTCCGCAGATTTTCCACTTCCGCCATGAGGCTGGAGTTGCCACATTCCCCTTTGGCAATTTTATCTCTTAATTCCTGAAGTTCTTCCTCTGCCTTTTGAAGATTTTTGTTGGTCTCTTCTAGCTCCTCAATTCTTTGCGTTAAGCCAACCAGCTTGAGTCTAAGTTGCCTGTTGTGAGACTCTTGATTAGCCAACTTAGCATTCATCTCTTCATGCTCTTGGGAAAACCTCGAAGCCTTGTGTTCGAAATCCACTTCCAACTTGAGCAATTTCTGCCTGTCTTCTTTGGATTTGGAAGTAATGGCTTTGAGTTTCTCTTCTTCTTCCCTCAGCTTCTGAGTGAGGTCCTGCACTTTCTGGCTTTGCAGGCCAAGTTGCTCAATATGCATTTGTCTCTCATCCACCAGCATGAGTGCAAAGGACTTCAGTTTCACAAGCTCATCTCTTAGCTTATTGAGCCTCTTAGCATTTTCCTTTTCTTTACGGGCTTGGTAAGCCTTTTCTTGTTCAAGCAGCTTTTTCAACCTATAAAACAAAATACATTAAAATGTTATATTTTATTATATAGTACTTTTCTATTTATATGGATTATATTTATTAAAAATACTAAATGATTAAAGCAAATAGGTTTGTCTTAGATGTTAAATAAAAATTAAAATGCTATTACAATTAAGTTCCTTATCAATTGCTGCAATATTAAGGTTTAAGAAACAGCCATTAATGAAACTAATCAAAAGTCAGAATATTAGTTACCCTTAGAGAGGTGTAGAGACTAGAAGTGGGCATGAAGAGGTACAGTTTCTGTTTCATGATTTATGTGTTGGTTACACAGGGTTGTTCAGCTTATAAAATTTCTGTAAGCTGAACATTATGATATGAGTGCCTTTCTGGATATGTATTACACTTCAATACCATCATCACTGGTAATACTTAAGGTAATGCAAGAATAATGACTGGCCAAAACCGGTTTGGCTCAGCGGGTAGAGTGTTGGCCTGCGGACTGGAAGGTCCCAGGTTTGATTCCAGTCAAGGGCATGTACCTTGGTTGCAGGCACATCCCCAGTAGGAGGTGTGCAGGAAGCAGCTGATCGATGTTTCTAACTCTCTATCCCTCTCTCTTCCTCTCTATTAAAAATCAATAAAATGTATTTTTTTAAAAAGAATAATGACTGTTTATATAGTGCTTTCTGTATTTTTTATGCTAGAAATGGTTTTATCGTATGAGCTATGTATTGCTACTATCATCCCCATAAGGAAAATGAGACAGGGCACCTGCCACAGGTCACACAGTCAGTAAGTGGCAGAGTGAGGATTCAAACTCAGGCAGAAGGGTCCCAGCATCCTAGCTCCTCACCTCTGCTCAGATGACTTCAAAAAAGAAACTTACTTTTTTTTTTAAACTTTATTTTTATTATTGACACGATTAAGAAATGTTCTTTAAATGAAAAAGGAGGCCCAGAAAAGAAGCTTCGGGTTTTCTTATTTCATATGTGACTATCACCTGATAGGGACAAATCAAGACCAGCTATCTGACAGAAAGCCCATTTATATAAACTGATTTTAGTTAATACCACAACTGGCACTGGATTTTGTCTCAATTTTCTGATCTAAACAGTTTTTTTTTAAAGTAGAGAACTAGGTTAGGTATGAAATCTGAATTATTCTTATACAAATATGTGGCAGCCACAGGAATTATTATGAAATGCATTGTCTCTATTATGTTTATGTATAGCTTTAAAAATTTGAAATATAAATATGCCAGTGTACCTATTTGCCATCCTTATGTTGGTCAGTTAACTTGCACCAATTTTTAAAAATAAATCTTTATTGTTCAGATTATTACAGTTGTTCCTCTTTTCTTCCCCCATAGCTCCCCTCCATTTGGTTCCCATCCCACCCTCTGCCCTTACCCTCCACCCCCACTGTCCTCACCCATAGGTGTACGATTTTCGTCCAGTCTCTTCCCGCACTTCCCACACCCTCTTCCCCCTGAGAATTGTCAGTCCACTCCCTTGCTATGCCCCTGATTCTATTATATTCACCAGTTTATTCTGTTCCTCAGACTTTTTATTCACTTTATTTTTAGATTCACTTGTTGATAGATATGTATTTGTTCATAATTTTTATGTTTACCTTTTGCTTCTTCTTCCTCTTCTTAAAGAATATCCTTCAGCATTTCATATAATACTGGTTTGGCGGTGATGAATTCCTTTAGCTTTTTCTTATTTGTGAAGCTCTTTATCTAACCTTTAATTCTGAATGATAGCTTTACTGGGTAGAGTAATCTTGGTTGTAGGTTCTGCTATTCATCACTTTGAATATTTCTTGCCACTCCCATCTGGCCTGCATAGTTTCTGTTGAGAAATCAGCTGACAGTTGTATGGGTACTCCCTTGTAGGTAACTAAATGTTTTTCTTTTGCTGCTTTTAAGGTTCTCTCTTTGTCTTTTGCTCTTGGCATTTTAATTATGATGTGTCTTGGTATGGTCCTCTTTGGATTCCTTTTGTTTGAGGTTCTCTGTACTTCCTGGACTTGTAAGTCTATTTCTTTCACCAGGTGGGGGAAGTTTTGTGTTATCATTTCTTCAAATGGGTTTTCAATATCTTGCTCTTTCTCTTCTGGCACCCCCATAATTCGAATGTTGATATGCTTCAAGTTGTCCCAGAGGCTCCTTCTACTATCTTTATATTTTTGGATTCTTTTTTCTTTTGGCTTTTCTGGTTGGGTGCTTTTTGCTTCTTTGTATTTCAAATCTTTGACTTGATTCTTGCGATCCTCTCGTCTGCTTTTGGATCTCTGTATGTTATTCTTCAGTCAGTGTATGCTTAATATCTAGTTGGTTCTTTTTCTTATCCTTGAGAGTCTCACTAAATTTATTGGCAGTTTATAGAAAATTCTTGAGTAACCTTATAACCTTGGCTTTGAACTCTATATCCAAACATTTGCTTTCCTCCATTTCTCTCATTTGTGACCTGTTTCTTTTTTTCCACATTTTGGTTGCTTCCCTGTGTTGATAGAGTGGCTGTGTGTGCTAGGTGTCTTAAAGGGCCCAGTGGCTCAGCCTCCCCAGTTATCTGAGGTGAAAACTCTTGGTGCACCCCTTCGTGGGCTGTGTGCACAGTCTTGTTGTAGTTTTCAGCCTTGGTTGTTGTTGGTATCACTGGGAGGAATTGACCTCCAGGTCAATTGGCTGTGAGGATCAGTTGTGTCTACGATGGGAGAACTTCTGTGCTGGGGAAACCCTTATGGGGCAGGACTTGCTTCAGTGGGGCTTTGGTGCTCACTAAGTCTGCCCCCTGAGTGTGTCCCTTATGGATCTGAGGAGTTGTAATCTGGATGGTCTCACTCTGACCACTGGGTACACTGGCTCTTGGATCTCCAAAAAGGTGCAAATTTATCCTCTGCATGAGGCCATCTAGTAGGAGCTATGGAGAGATATGCAGATTCCTCTTCTTTGTTTGGGGTTTGGAGGTGCCCAGATGAGGCCCAGCTGTGAAGAAATGCAAGTTGCTGTGGAGCGTTGGGCCTTCTTTTGGAAGTTCTAGGGCTCTCTGATCAGCTGCAGTTTGTTAGGTAATTTTAGATTGCAAAGGGCCAGGCCATTCATATGCAAAAGCCTCTGTACACAGCTGGGGTGGAGTTGTAAATTGGGTGGGGCGGGGTTTCAGGGAATCAACAGGGCAGAGCAAACAGCACTGGCTGACCATCAGCCCTGCCCTAAGAGGCCCCTGGGTCTCAGTGTCCACGGTAATTGCTGCAAGCACCTTTGACAAAAAAGCCACCCTCATGTTCCGGCCCAATGCCAGACAGCCCAGTTTCTCCCCCTATGAGTCTTGGTCCACAGAGTCTCACCCAGAAATGGAGTTCAGAGCAGTCAGGAGCTTGCGTCTTCCACCCTATTGAAAAAGACAACTGTGTCCTTAGTTGCCAGCCTGCTTCCACGCTAGAGTGCCTCTGTACTTCACTTCCTCTGAGTCTCAGTGTGCTTTTCTCTTTCCTCTAGTTGTAGAATTTCCACTCATCTAGCCTTCCTATGGTTCTGGATGATGTCTGTTTTGTCTTTTAGTTGTAGTTTTGAAGTGGTTGTGCGAGGCAGCAAGTTAGGTGTTTACCTATGACACCATCTTGGTTTCTCCTTGCACCAATTTTTTTTTTAAATATATTTTACTGATTTTTTACAGAGAGGAAGGGAGAGGGATAGAGAGCTAGAAATGTCGATGAGAGAGAAACATCGACCAGCTGCCTCCTGCACACCCCCTGCTGGGAATGTACCCACAACCAATGTACATGCCCCTGACCGAAATCGAACCCAGGACCTTTCAGTCCGCAGACCGATGCTCTATCCACTGAGCCAAACCTGTTTCGGCCTCCTTGCATCAATTTTTAATAGTTATTGACAACTACCCATAAAGAAATTAAAATAAAAATCATATTCATAACAGATGTAAGAATTCATTTTAGTAATTTATGTTTATAAGAGAGGCAAGTTATAAACAACCACTAATATGTACTTGCTTAAGTATATTTTTAAAAATATATGTTGTGCCTTATTTATTCTTAATGACTTATTTCATGTTTATGACTAATAGCTAATCAGCTGTTAGCCAAGTAAACAGAAGTTATTAGTCTCACATTGCATTGTGTAAGAAATGATGGACATACATATAGAAGCTCTTTATAATCAAAGCCAGTGTCAGATAATTACTATAAAAATACTTCTGATGATGTCATTAAGATTTTTTAATGGCATTTATTTTTAGAAACCATATCCTGTGACTAAGTGTCTATTAACTAAATACATAACTTCTAAAATCCAGTATGACTTTATTCCTAAAATAGGAGAAAAAGATTGTTTTCAAATCCTATGGACTTGCTTGAGCAATACTGTAATGGTTTCACTAAATTTGGTTCTTACATGTATAAAAGGGCATTTTGTTGATCTTCTCTTTTATTTGGAGCCAAAACAACTGAAGTAATGTCACCGAACTATAGAGTAGGAGAGACTTCAGGGGATGTTTGCAAATTCCTTTACCTAAACCAGATTGTCAGAAATGGATTCACTGAGACCATCAATGCTTTCAACTTTAAAATTAAATTTAAAACTTCTCAAGGTATTTGTTTGAGTATTCTATGCCTCTCCGGTATTTGAAGCAGTGGTTTGAAGTGGTTAACCATCTTAATTCTAGCTCTGCCAGTTTCCTAACTGGGTTACATCCGGCCAGTCACTGAAACTCTCTAACCCTGTTTTATCACCTCTTATCCACTCTCCTCTCTGCCCAACTTGCCATTCTTCAATCATATGCTGATTCTAAAAATATTAGCATAAAAAGGAAATAAACCAGAAGACCAAGACTAAGAAGATGAATTAGTACCTGATTCTTATCAGCAGCTGTAGGCAGAGAATCAAATATCCTGAAACCAAATTTATTCTTGGTAAGTTCTTTATTTTCTGCAAGCATTTTATCTTAGTTAGAGGACAAAAGGAAGATAAATAAATGATCTAATAGATTTTTTTCAAAATCCTC